GAGAGTCACTTCATGAACATTTGACTGTTTCCTTTGAGTAAAACTATCCTCATATCATATACACACAGAAATGTAAAGGTATTCACGGCAACCCGTCAAAATAAAAGTTCGGTTTAACTTGAAGGCATTGCGGCAGAAATATATTACTATTGTTCAGCAGAATGTACGTAACAGGCTGCTGCTGCTACTACTAAAATTATTAAAACCTTATTTTTAAGGACAACCATAAATATACAATATTTCTTCAATGTTTTAATTGTAATATTAAATTACCTTAATTTCCCAAAAAAAAAATTGTTTAATTTTCATTACTTAAAAGATAGATTAAATTAATGTTTTATGCCTTAAAAAATGTAAATACACAACACAGAATTTCTGAGCAAAAAATCATAAGGCTATTGTAAGAATAAATGAAAATTGTTTTTATGCTTTCAAATAATTAGACATGCTAAATCAGAATTTGGAAAATATAAAAATTTCATAAGGCCCTAAATATGTAATTTTTTTAAAACTTTTAATAAATTGATGTTTATATATATATATATATATATATATATATATATACACACACACATATACATAGTGTGAAGAATATTTTACAGTTTATATTTTGCAAGTACAGTTCCATGGATGTTAACCATGTCAGTAAGATTTATAAGAGTTTTTGCATATATATAGCCAAAATGTGTTAAGGAACAATTGTTGAGTAGGCTATTTAACAAATTATTATATAATGAATACAGAATCATGCAGCCATATGTTTGTCTCAAAAAATTATGCTTACATAATTCATAATTAAAGTTACATGTATAAGATATACTTTTAAACCCGGAACAGGCATTAAAATATTCAAAACAAATGTGGGTTATAAACAAACAGTGATCACTTGTTCGCAGAGTAATTTCCTTTTATCTTGCTCCAATGTGCACTTGAATTTCACAAACCAATTCAAAAATTATATTCTTAATCTTTAAATCTTATGCATTTGAGTCTATTTGGTGCTGGGCTATGTGCTTTTCATTTGCAGTCAGGTTACAGGTTAAATCATAAGACTCCTTAGATACAAAAACAAATCTTACATTTTGATCTATGGTCATTCATCTGCCAGTGAGTAAAATGTAAAAGCTTAGCTTGAGAAACATTAATAAGAAACAGGCAACTGTTTTCATTGACTAAAAGCTGTTTAATGTTGGTTGATAAATTGATAGGGCCAAATGCACCTCCACTCCCCTTTTTCTGAAAAAGTAATGAAAAGGAGAGGAAGAAAATACGAATAAGGAAAACTGACACCCTCTAATTAGTATGTGGCCAAATTTGCTTTTCTGAAATACAATACAGCCATCATGTGTCAAATTTGCCTTAAATTTGAAAATGTTTGGATAGGTTAAAAAGTCATGATGGCAGCTGTCTGCATTCAAGTCAAGTTTAGACTGAATGAAGTTAAGTAAAAACATTTTATTACATTAATTAGGAATATTATAATGCAACACTGTAGCTTTCTTTATTATTGTTTTAAATCATGTTAAATGTGCAGATTCAAATCGTTGTAGCTTAGGGACAAATAAATATTTTTACAGTTTTACATTGCAACGTGTTTGCATTGGGGTGCAAGTCTTTACATTGTGTACCTGCTTGTAAATCTTAAATCATAAGGGTTGTTGTTGATTTAATTAATAAATTTGTTAGAAAAGAGATGTTGCTTTTAAAATTTCTCTCGCGGGGCACTCATTTCAATAAACAGCTAGGTTTTTGCGTATGACAGGTGTGAAATGAATTCATTTAAATTAGCCTGACATCTGGTGACATCGTCAATCACGGGCTCGTGTCACGGAGAGAGGGGACTTGTGGGTCATCTCGTTTAAAGCACATTTTAAATGACACCACTGACCGAGTTGTGTGTATTCATCACATTAGTGTAGTCTAGTGTGCTCGGTTAAGTGACACCTGGCTTTCAGGTTAGTTCGGTTTGTTTGGTCCAGTGAATCACTTAAGAGACAATAAGTCTTATCAAAGCAAACAGATGAAAAACGCTTATAGCCAAGAAGGAATTGGTCAAATATGCAGTGCGTTTAAAAGAAATGATCTTCATATTCAGAATCCTTGGGGGAAGAAATCATGCAGCTAAGCACTGAAATCGGATTCCTAATGACTTTTGATAGGCTACTGGGACTATTCATTGTAAGTAACCGTTCTCCACAAATTACATTGATAAATGAGTCCCAAATGTGTTTAAAAGCAGTGCGATATACATTTCAACACACTTGTGCCATTATGATCGAAAATATTTATTGCAATAAAAGAGACAGTGGAGGTCCCCGTTAAATTGGCTTTTCATAATGAACACATTTACCATGGATAATTAATATATAAACTATTTCGATTTGTCATTGTGATGATATGTGTTCCACTTAATTGTGAAAGTAATTACCGAGCGAATGAACAGCTTTGAGGAGAGTCCCTGGTTTCAGGCCCTTCTATCTCAGGATGCAATAATAATTTTACTCTCTCCTGATGTGATGAAAAAGAGCCATAAATCTTTCTGATGCAGGTCCACGGCTGCATATTTCACTGCTGCTTTAATAGAAATATGCATGCGATCCCTTAATGAAATTAAAACTGGGAAGCGGACAAAGCGGCCCATGTGTTTAGAGACACCAGAGCATTTGGGATGAATGTTGCAGACTTCAAACTAGAAGAATTCCCGATAGATCTAAACATAACGCTTATTTATACGTTTATTGTTGCGCTGTAAATCACATTAAACATTTTCGTATTCCAGTGTCGTCCAAATAGCCTACATCTGGGTCACACTTTACAGTATAGCCTACTGTGCAGTGATAATTGTTATGTTGTTAGCAATTACGCGTGCGGCTTAGTGATTTCTATTACAGAATTGGTCACTGTATCATTACTGCACCCTGTTATTCTTCTTCTTTCGGCCCGTGACTTGTTGATTTCCCCAGAGCAAATAAACGCATGCATGCGACCAGTCTCTGGAGAGTGGTTAGCTGATGAATTGAGGAAAACTAATCCGCTTTATTGGTAGACAGGTTAAGGGCAACAGCGTGTCAATAATTCTCTCCCTGACCTCTTCCTCCATTAGCTTAAAGAGGCTTATAAGAGGACCAGACCCCTTAGACACGGATCCTCCACATCCCCATCCCTCCATGTGCCCAGCTGCTTGAAGAAACGAATAATTTCTATTTAAAGAGCGCGAGATCCAACGTTTACCGAAGACACTTGAAAACATGTCAATATATTTGTTTCCTTTACATTTACTCAAAATAACAAAGGTCTTATTTTTCGAATAAATACTACATGTTCGTTCTAATGGACTATGTTATAATCATAAATTTGTAGCTGTTTTGATAAAGGCGACAGATATATTTTTATAATCCCGTTTCACACTTGGTGTTTGTAATACCCATGCATTTATTTTATATCCCATTATTTTATTTTATATTATTTTTAATATACCTTAATATATAATAATTTTACAGATGCAAAGTTGCTAAAATATGTCAACATCTAGAGTGGTAAAAGCCCACAGACTAATTTAACTGTTAATCGCGTAATATTTTTTTTCTGGGTTTATAATAGGATAAAGACCGGCGCTGTCACACGGAAAAGCTGTCACAACACAAGGTCTAGCCTATTTCTCATAAAGTCAAAAATCTCAAAAAGTCAAATGTTTTCTCTAGCAGTAGTTTTGTATGCGTTTCAAACGCCTTAAAAGAATCCTCTCAAATGAAAATAAGTTTGTGAATTTTATCCTCCAGAGTAAAATTCCGATATCATCATTTGTTAGCTAAACAAATTGTACAATAAATATTCAGGCAGGGGTATATAAGGATATTTTTCATAAATGTTAGGTCGGTGCATTTTTGGGGGTGGAGGGGGGCAAGTTGTTACATGTGTTTTACATAGGCTATTGGAAATGTGTACAATTTATTTATTTAAATAGCCTACGGTAGGCCTATTTGTTGCTCAAAACACTTGTTTGATAATTTTGTACATATTTTCATTAATTGTTTTATGTTTCATCATTATTTTACTCCTTATATTTTTGCTGAAACACTTACCAAAACTGCAAAACTATTCACTGCAATACAAAAAAGTGGAGCAATTAAGGTCTCCCCTGGTGTCCGAGTGAGAAGAGTCTTTCCACGAATTTGTCCTCTTAAATATTCAGAATTCAAAGTATATTTTTAATCTCAAATGCGTATATGCCACTTAGATAATTCATATATAATCATCAAATAAAAAAAATGCCATAGTCTTTGCGTTGCCAGAGGGATGGTTGGCTTTTTCTTTTTCAAACAAATAGACATAGCCTAGATACTGTATAAACATATGGTGTAGTTTGGCTAGCACTTACCGGTTTTAGACAATCAGTTAATCATCTTCGTTCAATCAGTCCTATTTTTTGCATCAACATGTCGAAAACGCTCGAAAAATGAAATCATAATGATAACTCGTCTTATTATAGAACAGACTGAAACACTGCATTCCTCTTTTTAAGCGATGCAATTTTTCAGTCTGTTCTAATTTCATAGTATTTTAATCGTTGCACTTTAATAGGCTAGTGAGGACACTTTCTTCATACACTAATGCAGAATATCTATTAAAAAAATCTTCAAATCTGTACTTAAGTAAGGCTATCAGTAAAGTGTGTGTGTGTGTGTGTGTTGTGTGTTAGCTGTTGTAACATTTTTTATTTTTCTGTTTCTCCAACACCTTCCACGAACGATACAAATATTTTTGAGGACTAGGCTATAGAACTTATACTAAAAGCACAGTGAGCACTGAAATCACTGTCCAATCGGATATCCACAAGGATGACGTGACCAATCCACACCCTCTCGTGCAGCAGTTGACAAGTGGACTTCTGGCTTGCACTCCTTGGCCAAGATCATAACTTTAAGGAGAGCAACGGTGACACCAGTGACAGCATTTTAAAGTTGCGAACGACGCGTTAATCTGTTTGTGAGGTGGGCCAGATGGAGAAATCTAAAAACTTTCGCATCGACGCGCTTCTGGCTGTCGATCCGCCAAAAGTGCAGACCTCGCCGCTGGCGCTGGTCACCTCCCTGCCCACCTCTTCCGTATCATCCTCCTCCGAAAGTGTCCAGGCGTCGGAGTTGAACTCGAACTCCGAAGCACTTCGAACCGAGACTCCGTCGCCCCCCAGGATATCGTCTTGCGGGTTGATTCCAAAACCGGGTTTCTTAAACTCTCTACATTCAGGCATGTTAGGACTACACCCTCAGAGCAGCACCGGGATTCCTCCTCAGGCTCTCTACGGTCATCCAATGTACACATATTCAGCAGCAGCGCTGGGTCAGCACCCGGCACTGTCGTACTCATATCCGCACGGGTCGCACCATCTTCATCATCCCAGTGACCCCCTCAAACTCACCGCCAGCTCTTTTCAGCTCGATCACTGGTTGAGGGTCTCAACTGCGGGGATGATGCTGCCTAAAATGGCAGATTTCAATGGTGAGTTACATCTGAAATGCATGTGGCTAAATAAATAACATTATTATTATTAATAATTTTATTCTAATTTTTGTGGCCATGTTATTATGTAGGCTATACATATAGGCTATAATAAACTTGTTATTTTTATATTACTGGTTATTCTGTATTCTTCAATCATATTTTATAAATTATTTTGAGATTGCGGAATAACGCTGTTTATTTTCAACACGTGCCCTACTACTGTTTTATTAATAAAAAAAAAATCGAATCAATTTTGTTCAGAGCTACGGATCACAGCAGCCAGATATAACAAGGGCGTGCAGGGTCAGTAAAGCTGTTCTTTGACTGAGACAGAACGAGCTCTCTCTTTCAGAGAGGGGCTAAAATGGACAGATAATGGACAGAGGGAAAGTGGCGGACGACTGTGAAAACCACAGCTTGCCAACTGTGTACACTGCGGACACTGTCTCTCTGTTCCGCTGCTCGTCTGCAGATTTTCTCAAACCTCTCCCAAACAAATCAGATAGGGTGGAAATGTTACCAGATGTACTGACAATGCCGTGGCACATAGAGGCTATGTGTGATTGGGAATTGCTTTTGAGGGTTTTAAGAATGAGAGCTTTTATCATTTCTTGCCGTGCCATTTACACGGTGTGTTAAAATCTATTGCGCATATTGTGCATTAATGCTGTAATGCCTTCTGTAACATGGCTGGCCTGTAGGCTATTCAAATTAAAATATGTGAAAAACAGCAACTACATTTCCACTTGCCACTCTCAAAAATAAACT